TCATTTTAAACACAATAAAACTCATGTAGGTTTACTCAAAAACCACAAGTATCTCAAATGTCAAAAAATCCACATGTAAAAATCACAATCCCATAATCATAAGAATAAACTCGCTCCAATGTGTACTATCAAGCCGATGCCTTCCTGTGATCCTGAAAGGTACCTGAAATACATAACACATAACACGGTAAGCACAAAGCTTAGTGAATTCCCCAAAATACCACACACAACTCATTAGCCACTCGAGGATGTAACTCAATAAGACCCTTCGGTCAATGTGTCTCAGTGGGACCCTCTGGTTCCACAACTAGGGTGGACCCTCTAGTCCTAACTCAGTAGCTCAAAATAATACACAAAACAAATCACAAAGAAAAAACGCATAATACCTCAGTACTTAATATAGCACATAAGACCCTCCGGTCACACAAAAATTAACACTCTAGGTAAAGTATAGTGAGTAAACTCACCTCGTAAGCTAGCAAGTAATAATCTTGTACACGAATCTCGTACTAGCCTCCGCCTAACACATAAGATAATAATCTCTAATTAACAATTAAATCACGACTCGAAATAAACTAGGTTATTATCTTTCTCTCAAATTATTGGGATGGGTAAAAGACTATTGGGATGGTTATTATCTTTCTCTAAAACCCTAAAGTCAACAGAAGTCAACACCCGAGTCAATTGTTCATGTTGACCTGAATCGTCGAGTGCATGTATGTGACTCGCCGAGTCCCCCCTTGTTTCTTTAGAACATCGCAAAAACCCAACTCAACTCGTCGAGTTACCCGTGTCCAGACTCATCGGGGAAAACCCTAGCCGACTCGTCGAGTCAGCTCATTGACTCGGCGAGTCCCTTCAGTCTGAGTTCTCATTCAGACGTTTTAAGGTAGATCTACCACTCTACACTCTAGATCTAGGCTCCCAAGGCTCGAATGTCGCGTAAAGCTTCGATCTTCATGTTCATGTAGGGCATATTTTGCTCCAAAATGCCAATACAACTCTAATAAAGGTGTTTAGGCTCAATAACTCTTATATGACTGAATAAAGCTAGGACCTTTGGACTCTATGGACCTCACAAGGTTTAGATCTGAAGTCTAGACCTCCTGATAGACTCAATGCACTCAATGTCCCAATAAAAAGGTGGTAAGAACCCTAAACTTCCATAATCATGAGATCTAACCATTAAGATGAGAAAGGTGTAAGCTTTTTACCTTCCACAGAAGCTCTGGACAATATAACACTGATTCCAACAGTTTCTCCTTGTTCCTTGTTGGATAACCTCCTTCTTCTCCTCAAAAGATGCACTAAAATACTTGAATATTAGCCTTAGAACTCTCTTAGCTCACTACACATGTTTAGGGTTTCATACAGGGAAGTTGGACAGCTGGTGAGGTGCAAATGAGGTCATAAGTTCCCTTAAATAGGCCCCAACCCCGGGGATTTAGGGTTTCATCTCTCAGTGCCAACTCTGCGAGTCAGCTCTCTGGCTCGTCGAGTCGGTTATGAGACCCATGTGGTCAATCAGTCTTTACTCAACGATTTGAGGCACCAACTCGTCGAGTTGCTCAATAGATCTCAAAATAAACAATTAAATAATATACATGGGAGTCCGGATGTTACAATATAATAAATGAATAGTCAAGTTATAGACTTTATAGCTCAATAAGGCCGCCTTGACAAAGAAATCTCTAGATCCAAAGCTTATTCATTCAATTAAGCACTTATAACTGCCACTCCTTCAAGGAAATACAAAGGAATCACTCTCTTTTCACTCACACACACTCAAAAGGCTCAAGATCACGAATTAGGTTTTGGTGGACCGAGGGAGGCGATGAAGGAGGCCACAACAAGGTGTTAAGGTCCTTAAATAGGGCGTAAAATCGTGAAGATTAGGGTTTCACCCTGGCATCCCTACTCGTCGAGTTGAGGCTCTCAACTCGTTGAGTAGACTTCAAGTCTCGCGTCCAAAAATCCAATTCCTACTCGACGAGTTTAGGGGCTCCAACTCATCAAGTCCCCTTGCAAAAATGAATAATTCTTATTTAAAAATACATATCAGGAATCGGGCGTTACAGATAGCTTGGCGATTTGTTGGACCAGCAGCCAGAGATCTTTCAGTGTGATTCAACAGTGCGAGGTGAGTTTCCTCACTGTGTTTAGTGGGTTGAAGGCACCAATATCGACCCATGTTTATGCTATTCTAGGATGCTAGATGTACGTGTGACTCTACATATGTTAAGTACTCGTATGTAGGGCTGTAAACGAACTGAACGTTCGGCGAACTGTTCGTGAACTGTTCGGCGGGAAGTTTGTTTATGTTCGTTTATTTAATAAATGAACGAACATGAACAAAAATTATCGTTCGTTTAGTTAAATGAACGAACATGAACAATGGTCTCGTTCGTTCATTTATGTTCGTGAACGTTCGTTTATGATGTTTATTTACGTTCGTTTAAGTTTATTTATATTCATCTATATTCAATTGTTTTTTATTATATTACTATATTATATGTTCGTTTATGTTCATATATGTTTAATTGTGTTTTTTTTTTTTTTTATATTTGTTCGTTTATGTTTGTTCGTTTATGTTCGTTTAGCATGTTCACGAACATAAATGAACGAACATGAACAAAGTAATTTGTTAAACGAACGAACATGAACAAGAAAATCTCGTTCGTTTATGCGTTCGTGTTCGTTTGTTGTTCGGCTAACTTAAACGAACGAACATGAACAAGACCTTGTTCGTGTTCGTTTGGTTCGTTTACAGCCCTACTCGTATGCTTACAGGACGGGGCCCGATGACCATTTTGTATGTTATGTATCTTTGTGATTATTGCATATGTATGTTTTCATCTGATATATGTTATATGTATGATGGGCGGGGCCCGATCTATATACTGAGCGGGGTTCGATGCCAAGCGGGGCTAGATGACAGGCGGGGCCCATTATGTGTTTATTATGTATGACATGTGGTATTTTGGGGAACCCATTAAGCTTTTTGTTTACGATTTTTAGTTTATGTTTCAGCCACTTCAAGTTGTAAGGAAAGGGCTCGGGATGATTGCATAATACACATCACCTCATTCTGCATTTTGTGATTTACTCTTATTTGAGATGATTTTTGATACACTTATTTTATCCGGATTACATTGGTGATGTTTTGGAATACTGATTTTATTAAATTATAAATGAATTTTTTGGGTCTTATTTTTGGGATGTTACAATAAAGCTTGCAAATGAGAAGCTAACCCCGGATCTTAAAGCTCTAGTCACCCCTCCAAGTGATCCTCTTCTTCTTCTCCTTCACAAACCACCAACAAACACTCTTTACAGTTCAAAACTCACAAAATCACTCTATGGTTTCAGTTTCAGGGCAATGGGAGGTGGAGGTTGGTTGAACATGTCCAAAAGAGGCTATAATGGGGTTTAAGTAGGGTGCAAACCCTAAAAATTAGGGTTTGTTCAATCCGTGTGTAAGCCCTGCATACACCTACGTACACCCAACGTATGTGGGTGATGCCTACGACCACCTTAAGGTTAGTATGCTAAGCATACTCATAGAGTAAGCCCCTGTACTAACCAATGCCAAATTTGTAAAGAATTTTTCAATTTAGGGTGAAAAGGAAGCATGCCATAATACGAATGTTCAATAACAAATTACAAAAAAGTCTTATAAAATTTGTAAAAAATTGTTCACATTTAGACATTTTTTTTTTGTTTTTTATAAAATTGATCATTTAACTTATTAAATGTTGTGTTCACAAGTTACAATTGTCACCTGAGATAATAGATGACAATGGTAATATGTAAACACATTTAATGAGTTAAATGGTTAAATGTGTACAAAAAAATTTGTCTAAACGTTAACAAAACGAATAAGTAATTACCATAACAAGTTATTTTTCCCTCATAATATTATTAAATTTGACTAGAACAATGAAATATTAGTTTGTCAAGTTACACACAGTTACTGTCTTATTGGCAGTAATGATATTTTTCTGAACACCTCCTAAAAAATCCATTAGGAAGTATACTTTAGAAGGTAACTTATGAAGTATCATTGAAAATAGCATGGTTCTAAAAAAAATTATCATGCCTAATGATTGTATATGACGGCATGACGCCATGCCTTAACAAAACACTAACCTAATTCATATTTGTATATAAAAATTAATAGTAGTAATATATATATATATATATATATATATATATATATATATATATATATATATGTATATATATAGATAGATAGAGAGAGAGAGGGTCAAATGAGAACACCTAAAAGGTTGAGAACGCGAGAACAGTTCTGGACCAATCATTTTATAAGGGTATATTACTAACTTTATATAAATATTATTTATTGATTTCCTAAAATCTAGGGATAATGATTTTAATTACCTAACAAAATTAATATTTATAAAATATATAAATATATTTTTTTATGATTTTTCCCAAAAATTATTTATGACCGTTTCAAAAAAATCACCTAAAAAAATTAATATTTCCTTTTATTTTAAATCTGAAAAGAAAATCTTAAAAAAAATATTATTTTCTACTATTTCACGTTTTTGTTTTTCAAAAAAAAAAAAAAAGAAAGAAAGAAATCTAATCGCAAATCAATACACTTTCAATCATAAATGAAAACACATCAAATTACAAATAATTCAATGCATTTTTCATAAATTGAAAATAAAAAAAGTGTAAAATTATCATTTTTTTCATAAAATGAATACCTCTAATCATAAATAAATACACTCATTCACATGAATACATTAATATTCATAAATAAATACAATCATTCACACATGAATACATTGTAGTTCACAAATGAATACACTGTTATTTATAAATTAATACACATTCTATCATAAATGAATACACGTGCTATTAGTAAATGAATACAACTATTCACACATAACTACAATGTTATTTATAAATGAATACACGTGCTATTCATAAATAAATACAACAATTCACGCACCCCCTTCAAGAAATTATTACCAAAATATTCGAAAATTAGGATTGTGTTTCTTTCCATTGGTACACCTCGTTGTCGCTTTATGGTTTGCAAAATCTTTTCCATAAGGAGGGAAATTGCCCCTGAAAGGGGTCAGAATGTAGTTGTTGTTTCCAGGATCAGAATAGGAGTCTCCGAACACCAAAATAGCAGAAACCTTGTGGTTTTGAGTAGACGTTTTCACGATAAGATCTTGTGGTTCATAAAACTTAATTCCAAAGCAAGATTCATGTATGAATAGAAAGAAATACAAGTAAAGAAATGTAGTTGATTAAACTTGATTGATTTACAGTCAAAATAAAAATAAACGAGAAGATAATCATTACCAATCGAAGCAACTGCCCCATCGAGACCCCTTCCATCATTCCAATCGAAAATGCTCTCACAAACATTTTATCGAGCACCTTATGTGCATAGTTCATCCCTTCTTCACAAACAGACCCTCTTGGCCCCATTGGTTCCCATTCATTCAACAAATTAAAGACCATTGCCAATTTCTAAACAAAAATGTACAATTGTTGAGAGCGATCCATGATTTTCGATTAAATACCAAATATGGGTCGTGTTAAGATATTTGTATTTGGATAATAAAATTTCAAAGAGCATACCTGTGAACAATGCGTCCTTTTCCATCCACTAAATCTACCCAACTTCATGTGAGAAAGAATCAACCTATGAGTCAATGGTAGCATACCTGTAGAATGACACGAACACCAACACTGTGGTTTACTGGTTGTGGTCTGCTCGTTGGGTCACCCGCGTACCGCCTCAATATGCATCAAACGTCGCTGCTTCACCATCTCCAATTGTCAGAGTCATCTTCGCCATTGCCAATTGTCACAGTCATATTCACCATTGCCAATTGTCACAATCATTTTCGGCCGTCACTCTTGATTGGAGCTGTGTGCGACGATGATGGTTGCGGTGTAAGATGAAGATGGGGAACATATCTTCGTGGTGGGTTGTAAGTGATGCCCAGATCGATGATGGCATGAGTTTTATGAAAACCTAAAAATAGAGAGGTGGAAATATATACACTAGAAGATTAAAGGAAATATGTGAGTGGGTGAGAAATTATAGGATATAGGTAAAGTTGAAATTCCTGTTATGTCCTTCTGACCATTTAAAAGTTACATTTTAATGCCAACAGTTTAAGAATTTTTCATAAATCCCCCTTTCAATAATGACCTTAGATTTAAGTATTTAAATGGTCCAGATCTGTTCTCGCGTTCACAACCTTTTAGGTGTTCTCATTTGATCCTACTCATATATATATATATATATATATATATATATATATATATATATATATATATATATATATATATATATATATTCGGTAAGATTTTTTTTGTAGTTAGGTAATAAGTTTTTTTCGGCATATTTTTTTTGATGAACAAAACAAACAAATCAATATATATATATATACACACACACACACACACGTTTTAACAAACGGTATGACCCTTACCATTAAATAAGTTTTATTATAAGCGATTTTTAATATGATAGATTTTATATATATATATATATATATATATATATATATATATATATATATATATATATATATATAATTCCAAAATGAATTTGCGAGGACAATATACTATTTTTTTTTTCTTCTAAATTTAGAGTATAAGTTACTAAATACAGATCAAGTCAATATTTTAATATACAATTATGAAATAAGTTTGTCTATAAATCAAGATGTTGTCTTTCTTATAATAATAGATTTTCATATTTATATATATATTTTTTTTGTCTCCGATAATTTGGATTTAAAATTTTAAGTATTGATATTTTATAAATTGCGATTTAGGCTCTTATTATATTTTAAAGTTATGTTTTTGTTCCATTATATATTTTATTTTTATATTTTCTTACTAATTCTTTAAGATATATTTTCAAATCTTATTTTCGTCCACCTATTTAATATATATATATATATATATATATATATATATATATATATATATATATATATATAAAATAAAATCTATCATATTAAAAATCTCTTATAATAAACTTATTATATATATATATATATATATATATATATATATATATATATATATATAATTCAAAAATGAATTTGTGAGGACAATATACTATTTTTTTCTTCTAAATTTAGAGTATAAATTACTAAATACAGATCAAGTCAATATTTTAATATACAATTATGAAATAAGTTTGTCTATAAATAAAGATGTTGTCTTTCTTATAATAATAGATTTTCATATTTATATATTTTTTTTTGTCTCCGATAATTTGGATTTAAAATTTTAAGTATTGGTATTTTATAAATTGCGATTTAGGCTCTTATTATATTTTTAAAGTTATGTTTTTGTTCCATTATATAATTTATTTTTATATTTTCTTACTAATTCTTTAAGATATATTTTCAAATCTTATTTTGATCCACCTATTCAATATATATATATATATATATATATATATATATATATATATATATATATATATATATATATATTCCAAAATGAATTTGTGACGACAATATACTATTTTTTTTCTTCTAAATTTAGAGTATAAATTACTAAATACAATCAAGTCAATATTTTAATATACAATTATGAAATAAGTTTGTCTATAAATAAAGATGTTGTCTTTCTTATAATAATAGATTTTAGTATTTATATTTTTTTTTTTTGTCTCTGATCATTTTGATTTAAAATTTTAATTATTGGTATTTTATAAATTGCGACCGAGGCTCTTATTATATTTTAAAGTTATGTTTTTGGTCCATTATATAATTTCTTTTTATATTTTCTTACTAATTCTTTAAGGTATATTTTCAAATTTTTTTTCTTCCACCTACTCAATATATATATTTTCCCACGCATTAAAATTACGTTTTGGCCTCTTGCATATTTTTTATAGGTTTTATTTATTTATTAATATTACATTTTATTATTTTAACTTTCTAATAATTGTATTGTATCAATCAATATATACTTTCAAACTTCATTTGTTTTTTTGTCTTGTTACTACATAATTATTTCGATGGAAACTTTATTTTTATATTTTTGTAATTCACTTTATAAATGAGTTATAGTCATAGTTAGTAAATATTAGTTAAATATAACCGCCAAAAATGTTTGTCTCCTTATAATTAGTTCATTAATTGGCATTGCTTTTTATGGAAATAAATAAAGAAAATCCTGTGTTCTTTTGGTGTGGCCAAGAAACTGCCAACTACCTTCTTTGGTTGTATTATGCATATAGACATGTTTTTCGGCTAGATGACTTTCAAGAATTGCAACCAAATATTTTTTAGTCTACCGAATAGTAATATAAAAAAGATCATACCTTTTATACAAAAAAATTGGTTTATCTCTTTTAATTTTTCTTGACTAATAACAACATTCAAACGGTACAAGAGGTTATTATTTAACGATAAATTCTTTTATGTAAAAATTTAAGGAATCATATTTCAGGTAATTATGCGATATGAACATTAAGCATATACAAAATAACTTATTATAAATATTTAAACATAATAAACTCTTTTATTATGTTTAATAATTAAAAAAATCTTTTACATCATGAGTAAAAAATATTCACATATTTTTATCTTAATTTTTCTGAAAAAAATCTACATAAATCACCAATAAACATCAACTTATTCACAAGGTCTCATTCAAGATATGATTTATACATTGACTCATTTGAAAATAATATTTATTATAAATAATTACATAAAAACAGATGAAAATATTATGATCAATTTAAATTATGAAATTAACAAATATTGTTAACGCATAAGTAATGTTAAATTATGATCAACAAATATTGTTAACAACCCCACAATTTGGATTCACTTTGTTCCTTCCAAAGTTACATGTTTTGTTTAGAGGGCATGTCTTGATCGTATATCTACCACCACTGCCTTGAATAAAAGAGGGATGCATAATGTAGTTTTGGTCTTATTTTATTTTATTTTTGTTTTTTTTTAAGTTCAAAGTTAGGAATAGTAAAGCTTCATGTTTTTTGTCAACTTTACTCCTTATTCTTTAGCTATTTTGATATTTTTGGTCATCACAATCAAAATTTTTACATTTTTAAGGAACATTTTACTATTCAAAGTTTGGCCACAAAACTTTATGAATTTGACAACTTTGGTATATTTTCTAAAAACTTGCTAACTCCAACCCCTTTAATTTTGTAGTCATTTTGACATTTTGGTCATTGCAGTCAAACAAACACAAAAAATGGTCCGGGGCAAAACCCGAATTTTTCCGCTAAAAAGGTCAACAACCAGTTAGGAATAGTGAAACTTATGTTTATTTATTGTTTTCGTTCTTGCACTTTCCATGTCTGTCATTTTCTTCTTTTGTTATATTTTTTCTATATTGGTGCTTATATTTAACTTTTTTTGTTTTTTTCCTGTCCTCTATCTGTCCGTTTCCGACTGTTTTTCCGTATGAAAATCATCCAAAATTAACTAAAAGAGTCAACAACGATGCCTATTAATCTATAAACAAAAACGACATTCAAATCAGACACACGATTCATGCGGAGCATGAACAACATATCTAGTTATAATAAATCAACTTATAAACTAGCTTATTTATATTGGAGCTTAGACCATATTTGGAAGACTAATTCTAAATGAAAACTAATTATTAAGTGAAACGTTAGTTGATAACTAATAAACTAATTAATTAATTAATAATGTCGGGTAAAAAAAGAATAGATAATAAATTAGATTGAAAATGTAAAATAACATAAATGAACATTTAGATATATATAACTAAAATTGTAGCATTAAATATAATAAAAGATATATTTAAAATATTTTTAATTTTTTTTATAAGATTCTTAAAATTATTTCAAAATAGTTTTTTAGTAACTAACTAGTTTATAAAAGATGATAAATTATTTTTATAAATTAACAAACAATAAATAAATTATAATAAAATTTATAAACTTCCTTATTTTCAGTGTACAGACCTTGAAATAATTAACTGGGTAAAATATTAAACCTTTAGGATTGCTCTGGCAGCAAAGATTTCTGCTCTGGAGATAGTAGTTTATAAAATACCAAAAATTGATCTTTTTAAATATTTTTTAAGGAGTAAAGGGAAAAGGTTGTAGAACATTAAAACATGCTCTTTAACCTACGCCCTATCTTTTTATCGTGCGCCACTTTTTTTGTCATCATTAATAAATTTCCACACGCACTCTCTCTATCTCTTGGTGTATATATACGAAGTACAAATCTCATTTCGCTCTGTATCGTTAGCCGGCGCCTCAAAAGCCCTAAATCACTTCTCTCTCTCATCGCTACGAAATCAAGCGGATTTCGAGGTAAATTCTGAGTTTCCGTGCTTGAATTTGCTTGTTTTTGGTTCAGTATATTGTTTTATTGGCTGTTTTATTCCTTGATTTAGCTTCAAAATATGTTGATTTGTTTATTTTGTATGTTTTAATCGTC